TTGTGCCGGTACTTTCTTTCATTCAGTATAATGGTGCCGGTACTTTCTTTCATTAAGTATAATGGTGCCGGTGCTTTCTTTCATTCAGTATAATGATACCGGTACTTTCTTTCATTAAGTATAATTGTGCCGGTACTTTCTTTCATTAAGTATAATTGTGCCGGTACTTTCTTTCATTCAGTATAATGGTGCCGGTACTTTCTTTCATTCAGTATTTACCACGGCCATGAAAGAAAGTAACAGTATAATGGTGCCGGTACTTTCTTTCATTAAGTATAATGGTGCCGGTACTTTCTTTCATTAAGTATAATGATGCCGGTACTTTCTTTCATTAAGTATAATGGTGCCGGTACTTTCTTTCATTAAGTATAATGATGCCGGTACTTTCTTTCATTAAGGATAATGATGCCGGTACTTTCTTTCATTAAGTATAATGGTGCCGGTACTTTCTTTCATTCAGTATAATGGTGCCGGTACTTTCTTTCATTAAGTATAATGATGCCGGTACTTTCTTTCATTAAGGATAATGATGCCGGTACTTTCTTTCATTAAGTATAATTGTGCCGGTACTTTCTTTCATTAAGTATAATTGTGCCGGTACTTTCTTTCATTAAGGATAATGATGCCGGTACTTTCTTTCATTAAGTATAATTGTGCCGGTACTTTCTTTCATTAAGTATAATTGTGCCGGTACTTTCTTTCATTCAGTATAATGGTGCCGGTACTTTCTTTCATTAAGTATAATGATGCCGGTACTTTCTTTCATTAAGGATAATGATGCCGGTACTTTCTTTCATTAAGTATAATGGTGCCGGTACTTTCTTTCATTAAGTATAATTGTGCCGGTACTTTCTTTCATTAAGTATAATTGTGCCGGTACTTTCTTTCATTCAGTATAATGGTGCCGGTACTTTCTTTCATTCAGTATAATGGTGCCGGTACTTTCTTTCATTCAGTATAATGGTGCCGGTACTTTCTTTCATTAAGTATAATGGTGCCGGTACTTTCTTTCATTAAGTATAATGATGCCGGTACTTTCTTTCATTAAGTATAATTGTGCCGGTACTTTCTTTCATTAAGTATAATTGAGCCGGTACTTTGTTTCATTCAGTATAATGGTGCCGGTACTTTCTTTCATTAAGTATAATGGTGCCGGTACTTTCTTTCATTAAGTATAATGATGCCGGTACTTTCTTTCATTAAGTACAATGATGCCGGTACTTTCTTTCATTAAGTACAATGATGCCGGTACTTTCTTTCATTAAGTATAATGGTGCCGGTACTTTCTTTCATTAAGTATAATGGTGCCGGTACTTTCTTTCATTAAGGATAATGATGCCGGTACTTTCTTTCATTAAGTATAATGGTGCCGGTACTTTCTTTCATTAAGTTTAATGATGCCGGTACTTTCTTTCATTAAGTATAATTGTGCCGGTACTTTCTTTCATTAAGTATAATTGTGCCGGTACTTTCTTTCATTAAGTATAATTGTGCCGGTACTTTCTTTCATTAAGTATAATTGTGCCGGTACTTTCTTTCATTAAGTATAATGGTGCCGGTACTTTCTTTCATTAAGTATAATGGTGCCGGTACTTTCTTTCATTAAGTATAATGATGCCGGTACTTTCTTTCATTAAGGATAATGATGCCGGTACTTTCTTTCATTAAGGATAATGATGCCGGTACTTTCTTTCATTAAGTACAATGATGCCGGTACTTTCTTTCATTAAGTATAATGATGCCGGTACTTTCTTTCATTAAGTATAATGATGCTGGTACTTTCTTTCATTAAGTATAATGATGCCGGTACTTTCTTTCATTAAGGATAATGATGCTGGTACTTTCTTTCATTAAGGATAATGATGCTGGTACTTTCTTTCATTAAGGATAATGATGCCGGTACTTTCTTTCATTAAGTATAATGATGCTGGTACTTTCTTTCATTAAGGATAATGATGCTGGTACTTTCTTTCATTAAGTACAATGATGCTGGTACTTTCTTTCATTAAGTATAATGATGCCGGTACTTTCTTTCATTAAGTACAATGATGCTGGTACTTTCTTTCATTAAGTACAATGATGCTGGTACTTTCTTTCATTAAGTATAATGATGCCGGTACTTTCTTTCATTAAGTACAATGATGCCGGTACTTTCTTTGTGATGCCATGCTCGAGCACGGCCTGCCGGAAACTTTTTGGAACTGACTCATTATAATATTCATCTATTAATGAAGTAGATATTTAAAATAAGAAAGTCAACACAAGACTACCACTGAGGAAAAAAATAAATAAAGGATTTGCACAGCACACCGTGCACAGCACACCGTGCACAGCACACCGTGCACAGCACACCGTGCACAGCACACCGTGCACAGCACACCGTGCACAGCACACCGTGCACAGCACACCGTGCACAGCACACCGTGCACACTATGAGGTTAAGAGACACTTACATTGCCAAGCATCTTTTCTGTTGCTCTATTAATACGAAAATGAAGTTTGGTGTGCGCTAAAATGCATTTCTTGATGGTATCAAAAATTTCATAGGGCCCCACTTCACTTCCTACGTCATTTCCACTCGTTTAAAGTGATAATGTCAGCATCTTTTTACCTATACAAGTAAAAGGCCGGATGTTAATAATATTAAAGATTTTCTTTAACTGACAAAAAAAAATGTGAAAAAAAAAATGTATTAGCTTTATTTGTCTATATAGTATCCAGGGGCGAAACTAAGATGGGACCAGAGGCATACCCGCAAGGTGCTAAAACTGGGATGAATTCAGTTTGTGTGGGGCGGAGTGGGGGGTAGGAGCCACAGCTTCAAACTGGGGGGCCATAGTGTCTTATTTTTTGGTGTTAATAGACGAACTGATCCCACCATTTTCAAACACCCGCTTTACCCCACTCGGATCAAAGTCTGTGAGGGAAACACCTATGCCATCTCATACGTGACGCAGAAACAAAGTATTCTAAAAAAAAAAAAGACAATTTTAGTAATTGCGGGGACTATGAGACATCTTGAAAATCCAAGGGCGAGTAATATACGAAGAACTTCAATCATGCACCAGAACGAGAATAATTACTCAAACAGAACAATTTAAAGATAATGTCGGTGAACTGGAATAATGATTAAATCTTTGATGAAACAAATAAAAAAAAATCTTTTAAAATTAGGCCTGCTGCTTTGAAAAATACAATGTAATATTTCAAAAGCATTTTTTAGGGAGGGGGGGGG